AAGAAGGAACATCTCGCTACTGAACAGGATACTGTAGACAAATAAGAAAAATAAGGAATAATAGGCATAGCAGCAGCTCTGAACTAAACCCAAAATGAAGACAACACCGATGTCCCTGAATGTGATGGACTAAATTCACCAAATACAAGGGGGGGGGGGAACCCTTCTGTAAACTCAGAAAACTAAATGCTGATAATTCGCTTACAAGAAACACATTAAAAATTGACTATGTCAATCTGTTAAAACAGGAAAAAAATATTACAAGAATATTTAGCTGCAAAAAAGACTAAGAAAAATGACCTTAGTCTTACTAGTTATCGTTTTACAAATGATTTGGAGCAACGTAGTGTTCAGTTCGGTGTTTTCATTTTTCCTGGGCTATTCTTTGATAGAATAGCTCTTGCAGCCATGTGTTGGATAACTTCCAGGGAGTGGAAGTTTCTATGCCTTGTCTCCCTATGAGCTGAGCATGTGCTTTGATCATGACACACAGGCAGGAGAAACCAGTCAATCGGTCCCTGAACTGGGCTGTGCCCTTGCTATTTCTCCCTTTGTCTTTCACTTCCTGAACCAAAGGGAATCTGTATATCCCAACCTCCTGCAAGTTCCTTGTTTTCCTTAGCCCGTATCCTTGCTTTTATTCCCCAGAACCTGACTGACCCTTCTGAATCTTCCACTGCTTCCTGCACATTGTGTGGCATTTCCAGAAGACCTGCACGTTGCAGGGATGAAGTTCTTGGCAGTTCACCCCTCCATTCCACAGCAGCTTGCACAAAGTCAGCTAAGTGAGGGTGGGAGACTCTGGCATCAGATCAAGTATATCAGAGCCAAAAGAATTATTCATGGTGCCCACAACATCGCTGTTGCCTACTCTAGTCCAGAAAAACAAACCGAGGGTATTTGCTACCCCAGGAGTTAAGTTAGATATGATCCGTGACAGTCAATGCTTTACAGGGAAGGCTTAGAGTCTTTAGTTGTTCCTGTCAAGACAGCTCAGTACGAATATTCGAACCCCACAAATTACAAACCTTCAGGTTTATAATATTACACATGAGATTACTAATATTATCTGCTCTGTAAACCGCCCAGAGTTGCTGTTTAACGAGATGGGTGGTGACAAATTTGATAGGTAGGTAGGTAGGTAGGTAGGTAAGTAGGTAGGTAAGTAGATTAGATAGATAGATAGATAGATAGATAGATAGATAGATAGATAGATAGATAGATAGATAGATAGATAGATAGATAAGAGATCAGGCACAAAGAATAGTAGGAGTAAGATAACCAGCACAGAATCTGGGTCCCATTCTTTTTTTTTTTTGAGTTTACAACAAAACTGACCTGATCAGGGAAACATGTTCTCTATGTATTAAAATTAAGGTGTTCACTTTCTTATTTCTTGACTGGATTCTAAATGGAATTTCATGTCAGCAGACTTCCCAAAAGGATACTAGCTAAGGAGATTATATATTTGTTGTTATGAAGGTTCTTGTTTTAATTCAACTTCTGCTTAATTAATTGATTAATTTAATCATTTGAATCTTAGATGCATAAAGGGAATGAAGAAATACTTCATTTTCCTGTTCCAAGTCAAACTCTGTAGTCAGTATACCACAACAGATTGTCAGTCAGTGATCCCTTAAATCAATCTGTGCTCAGCAGCTGAATAATGAAATATGTGGAACTGCTTTATACTGACATAGATTATTGGTCAGTCTAATTTCATCAAACTCCTTTAACTTCATTTAACTCAATACTACTTCATTCTTAAATTAGTTCAGATTTTTTTTAAAGACCTTATTTGGGCCAAACATGCACTCTGTCACCAAAGTATGTTATTCTCTCATTATGTAGATGACATAGTAATTATCTTACACTGTTTTTCTGGGAGAACTACTAAAACAAAAAATGTAGTGGTTGCAGTATGATATGACAATAACAAATTTAACCCAAAATAAAATAACTTCATTACATTTTGAAACTTACTGAATTATCTGAAATAAATTATTTACATTACTCTTAAGATTTAACTGGTAAAAGCTCAGAAGTTGTTCATGCTCATTTTTGAATATTTAAGTACAATCCTCTCCAAACCATGGCTGTTCTTGTCTTATGATTACTGCGTTTTAACAGGAAGTATCAATAAAGCATTAAATTATCATTTGGAATTTTAAGGAGATTGATAGAATTACAGTTATTACTGAGTTTTCTTCCAGTGCTTTAATCATGATGATAGTTTTCAGATCAGAAACTCAGAATTAGTTGTCTTCATTTTCAGTGGCAGTATACCAGAGTAGGAAGCTTAAGCATTGTATGACTTCTAGCTCTATACAACATCTGAAGCACAGAATCTTCAAGTGAGACTGTAGAAACATTTTTAAGAAGCTTTCTTAAAACTATGTCTTCATTGTTTGAAAAAGCCTACTTGTTAAAGATTCCTCACAGGATGGTTAAAGATAAATGTGACCACAAGAGGGCACACATATAAAAAAAATTCACATGACTAACAGGCAAAAGACAATGTGTGATTATGTTCTCTGCTTTTTCATTCAATACAGTACACATTCAGAAGGCTTGTGGATCTATGTATTATAGATGGCATGAGCTCAGGATGCAGAGAAAAGGCTAGATGAAAAATTCTGATCATGTCAAAAATTGATCATTCCAACATTTGCATTTAGATGGTCTTACATGGAGTAGTTCTTACCCCTGCCACGGGTGGTAAATGTATTCACGTGACAGATGAATCCCCACATCCCTCCTTCTGACATTATACAGTACTGTAGTATTATTTGTATACTTTCTAAAGTATCAACAGTTTAATCATATTGTCCTCCATTTTCATGGACACAGCAACTTTTAATTGGATGGGTGTGCATGTATGAGTGTAAATAATATAAAATATAATATATTATAATATTGTAATATAAAATATATAATATTTCTAGGCTTATTTTTATTTAGTGCCAGTAAATTTATCAAGTACAATAAGAGAAACCAAGTTATTTTCTTTCTTAAGCATTATCACCTTCTACCGTATTTTATTCTATTAATTTTTTGGTGGGAGGGGATAATTGGTGGTGGTTCATCACAGTAGAAAGTAGGAATGCTAAAAGAACTCTATATCTACTGAAATATATCTCTATGCATAAAACTATTTTCTACTTATTTATTTTTTATTTATTTTTACAAAATACAGGTAGTCCTCACTTAACAACTGCAACTGGGACTGTCACTTCCATCACTAAGTGATGTGGTCATTAAGTGAAACATCACATGACAGTGCCTGTCTTATGATGTCAGTTCCACTGTGGTCATTAAGTGAATCACCCGTGGTCATTAAGTGTGATGTCACGTGACCGCGACTTGCGACTTCCTGCTGGCTTCCCCATTGACTTTGCTTGTCAGAAGCAGGCTGTAAAGATCTCAAATGGTGGTCACAGGACCGTGGGACACTGTGACCATCAAAATATGCACTGGTTGCAAAGTGCCAGAATTGTGATCACAGGACCGTGGGGCACTGCAACAGCTGCTAGTCTGAGGACCGGTCATCAATCTACTTAAGTTTGAATGGTCACTGAATGAAGCAGTCATTAGCCAAGGACTACCTGTAGTATTTTCCATAGACATTTATCCATATTAGGCTAAAAACCTACTGAAACCATATAAAATTACAAAAAACATAATTAGAGAACAACAGGAAAGAACCGAAATCCTTAGTTGCATGTGAATCTCTGTGAATTAACTGAGATGATTATTCAGATCATTAACTGAGTTGATTAATTTGAATTAACAGTATTTTTTAACATGTACATTACATCAAATTTTAGATTAAAAGAAAAACTTTCATTAGTTTCACACTAACAGTTCTACCTAGTTGTATATAGAAAATTATCTATTTCTTTCTCTGAAATACCATACATACTACAAATCTCTAGATTTAAATTGAATTTGATTTGTATTTACATTCTTGACCATTCTTGATGTTATGAACACAGTGGTGATAATCCAAAGAAATCCAGATAGCTCAAGTATTCTTGACATGTTATTTTCTTCTCCTACGCAGCAGCTACAAGCTACTTTTGGAACTTCGGTGTATTTAGACAGCTTATGCACTTGTGAGGCATGCACACAAATGCAAAAGGCTTATATTTTTAACATGCAGCCATGCCAAATGGGGTTCCTATTTCTTTGCAACCATTACGCAGTGAGGTTTCCATTCCTTTAATTGCATCAGATTCTTCTCTTTCTCCATTCCCATAGAAACAGAAAAACCCAAATGGGCACTTTTGTATCGTAGACCTTATGCCCTAGTGATTTCACTCATCTTCACTTTATTGTAAATATATTTCAAAAATCAGCCTACTTTTCAGTGAATCCATGAAAAACTTTCTAATTCGTTAATTAGAATGAATTTGGTTTGATGTTTAATGCTGACACCCTGAGCTTCAGTAATTACGAGATTCCCAATTCATCCTGGGCAGTGTTCTCATGCAGCTTGAAAATCCATTGTTTCTTAAAGTCTCATGATAAATTGCCTTTACCTTAAGTGTCTGTTTGAACTGATGGATGTGATTCATGGAAGCAGAAAAGTTCCATGTAAGCACCATCATCTTATTATAGGTAATAATACCAGTTTTAAAACATATTTGGTAGCCTTCCATTTGTAGTACTCTTACAGTTGCAGAACTAATGATACTAGCTTGATGTTTTTGCATAGTACACAGTCTTCTTTATACAGACACAGCTAAAAATACACCTGAAGACAATGCAATCATTATGGATTACCAATTTAACGGTGAATTTGCATATCCTTGAATGTTACTCAATCAGCCCTTGACTCTCATCTGAACTTGTGAATTGCCTCCATGAAAGCTTGCTGCTTGAGATAATGAGACATCATAGGATCATCAAACATTCACTGAAGAAAAACAAAAAGCAAATTGCACATATAGCAATTTTAATCCATTCCATTTTAAATACCACAATAAATTTAATTTTCACAATAAATTAAATAGCCATATTTAGTTTACAAAATAGAATTACTTAGTGTGAAACCACTATTTACAAACAATATACAATATGTACATCAAATTTTTGTCAACATACAAGCATAGAAGGGGAAAAAAAAGACTTCCTTTTTGACACATGATTGACATGCTCTAAGTGCCAAGATGATCCATATAATAAAAACAATAGTGCAAACTCACCACAGGAAATTTGAAACAATGTTGATTGCATGAGAAAATTTCTTTTCAACACTAGGAAAAGATTTTTCAAAAGAACTTAGCATCATATAGGGTATAATCCTATAGCAAACTTATATTGGCTTTTCATCCATTTAATGGGCATAATTGCCCCCTTCCCCAATTCATGGAAATTCTATTCAGTGAGAATTATTCATTAAGAAAATTTTATTAGCCCCTTCTTGTTACTGAAATAGAGCACATTGGGTTTCCTAGGGAGCACTGGTAAGCCAGTATAAGCCTGAAGCATAAATGTATTCATTTAAAAGGGCCAATATTCTTTTAGAAATATATTTCCATAATATTTCATTGCAGATTTTCCAAAATGAATTCTAATTGCAGTGAATTAGAATTGCAGTGAATTTTGAAGCAATATTCTGCCTCTCTCTAGACACGTTTAATATTAAATTTTATGGAGCAAGTAGAGTACTGACCCTTTGAACTGAGTAGCTGAGTTAATTTCTTTAAATGACATTTTCTCATTTAATTGTACAGCATAAAATGATGCAATTATGCAGAGAGTAAATTTTATGTTATGCACTGTTCTGTAGAAAAATTGATCCCATCTTATATTTGGTCACACACTGCATATGTACAAGTACACATGAAAAAAGATTACTTTGATAGCTGAGTGTATGAAAAGTGCATATTTTTTATACTCTAATAGAGATATGGTTGCATATCTCCAGGTGCAACACACAGTGTTGTAGGAAGTTTATTTTAGGGCCAGTTAAATGTCCTCCCTGTGATCTGGTAAAATTTCTGATTAAAAGGGTGAAAGAATTTGCGCAATTTGGTAATGACAGAGGAATCTACCTCTGGATGAATGCGTCCCTTGCTTCCCGCCAGGCACTTGTTAAAGACAATGTTAAATCGCAAGCAGTAAAACCCTCTGGTGGCATTGAAATACAGATTATATTGACTTATCCTTGGAGGAAGATTTAAGAACTTTTCTACCAGCTGGAGTTCTGGCAGTGGTTCTGTAATGAGACGATCACCATCAACAATATGAAACTGCTCTATGGGAAAATATTTTAACCATCTCTCCAGATGTTTTGTGTAGATGCTGGTTCTTACTGCCTTGTATTTAGTGTTCACCTCACAGGTATTAGGATCAATGGCCAACTTTTCAAATTTGTAGTAGGTTTTATTCTTCCTTTCCTTTCCCTCCAGCACCTGAGTGTAATCAGAAATAGCTCTTGTTGTGGGTTCCCTGACAATGATCAGTAATTTGATGGATGAGTTCATTTTATAAATCCTTTCAGGTACCTCCTCTGTGATAAAGTATGCAGGGCTTTTCTCAATTGTTATTTGATGAGGGTATGAAAATGGCATTTTTTTTCTATACCACTCAATGCCCTTGGCATAGTTCTCGTCATTGTCAAAGAAGTGTATTTCTTGAGAAGCTTTGACCACTGCCGGATGAAGATTTAGCATTTCGAGTAGTGCTCGGGTTCCTCCTTTCCTCACTCCAATTATTATGGCCTTGGGGATTTGCTGGACCAAACTGTGAAGTCGAATTTGCTCTTTGCTGGCATTACCCTTTCGGAATTCATGTAGCAACCCACGCTTAAACTGGAGAGCTCTGAGTGGGATTTCATCTTGCCCATGGAGTCCAAATCGGCCTTCAATAGGGCAAATGGGTTGCAGTCTGCAATTGAGGAAAAAAAAAAAGGAGAAATAATAGTTTACATTAATAACACTGAAATTTTATACTTGTCCAGTCAGAAGCTCAATAAAATTAATGCCATATGAGTAGGAATGGGCCACATAGCATTAAAGTGAGAGTGGACATAATATGTGCGTGTGTTCTATCTATCTATCAATCCACACTGGACCAGCATGGTAGATCATGGTCCATAACCTTCAACAAAGAGACCTTCATCCTGCTGTGGATAGATTTGGGGTGGTAATAATAATTAATGGTGTTAATAAATTATTAATTTATAAATGAATTTTGAAGTGGTTCGCATAGTCCTATTAACAAGGCAAGATGTTGATGTGCATTTTCATGGCAGGAATTGAATAGACAATATAAAATTTGTCTGCTCACTTATAAACTAGCATAGAAAATACTAGATTATGTACTTCATCTATTCTCAGAAAGTTCCATACTGATCCACTCTCTGTTTTCAGTTACATTTTGTAAGATGAACATGTGTTTGGTGCTCATATGGGTAACAACATTCTGAAATGTTGACTAAGTTATATGTTATGTATATATACCTTTATACTTATACTTTATAGGACGGGGGTGCATAGACTCGGATCTGGAAGCCTGCCTTGGATATCCCTG